ACAATTTCTCCTGTTATCTGAGAAATTATTTCTGATTTCATTTTTTCCAGATTCTCTTTTTTGCCAGTTCAGTGGGTCCAGGTAGTTGAGGATCAGAGTGTTCCATCTCATTTCCCTTTGGGGTTGCTGTAGGTGATCTGGAAGTCTGTTTTTGAGACTTTTTAATGTGTTTTCTCATTTGGACTGGTGGGGCGGGGGGGTGCTGTTGGCACCTGCGCGGTTCACCTCCTCTGAGCTGGGAGAGGTGAGACAGGGGCTGGGAGCGGCGAGAGGGATGGTGGCCCAAAAGCCCCTTCCTCTCGGCTGGGAGTGGCAGGACAGAAGACGGCCCAAAAGCCCTTTCCTCTGGGTGGGAGCAGCTGTAGGGATGGTGGCCCAGAAGACCCTTCCTCTGGACCAGGAGCAGTGGGATGGCAGCTCAGAAGCTCCTACCTCTGGGTCGGGAGAGGCGGGACAGCACTTCCAATTTTATTATTTACCTTATATCTCCCTCAACTATAATTCTATAGTTGAATAATCTTCAAAATCTACTATCTGATGGAAAAACACAAGCATACAATTGCCCATTTTATCAAATAACATTGAGAATTGTAATTTTTTTATTCTTTGATAACTTGAGAGAGGAGATGTGCTATTGGTATACCAGTGTACAATAATTTCTAGAGGAATTATTGAAAAATTGAAATATGTTAGTTACATATTTGAATTTCTGTGAGTTATCTATTTAAACCCTTTGGTTATTTTTCTCTAGGGCTCTGGATGCCTTCCTTATAAATTTCTGTAAGTTCTTTGGATATTAAAATATTAATCCTTTGTAAATCACAATAAATATATTTTTTCCACTTTTTCCTTTACTACTTTGTGATCTGAAGTTTTAAGTTGTTTATGATCAAATTACTGATAGTTTTGATATTTCTTCTACTCTTATTATATCAGAAAGCTTTTTCTTACATAAACATTAAATTCATGGTCCTATATCTCTGATTCTGATGTTTCATATTTTCATCTTTTGTGTTAGCTGTCATCATACTCTATAAAGATGGAGTGGAATCATGGTTTGATCCAAAGGAAGACCTAGGCCTGGGAACTCAACCCAGATAGAAGCCAATAGACTTGGAACCAGAGCTGGGAGATCTTGGGCAGGAGATAGAAGAAAACCTTCCTGAGTCTCATGTGGGGCCTAAATAATTAATCACTACATAAAGATGGTTTCTTTGGCAGAATTTTGGGTTGATTTAAATAAACATGAGTTTATTATGTTATTGGGGAGGGTCTATAACACATAGTTATTTTGGAATCCCAATGGATTGTACATAGCCATATACTAACTCTGTGCCACACTAGGGAAATGCATCATTATAACCTAGGAAGTGGTTTTTCTTCGGTACTAGAAATAACGTCAAGGGAAAAGAAAGCAGCAGGAATGGATGGGCTTGATATTTCTCTTCCATGCCAGAGTAGATATGGATGAATGAAAAGGAAGGAAGCCTTTGAGAGGATGACAGAAAGAATTAGGGCTATATTGAAAATTCTACCATAGAATCCTTATATTATTATTAAACGAAGATTTCAAAACAGAGACTTTAATTTTCTTTTTATGATATACAACAAATAAAACAAGAAATGCTTGCAAAGTCCTAAATCTCCTTTCAGTCCTAAATAAAATTTTTTTTTGGTTTCCTGGTGGTCAGCTGATAGCAAATTTATTCCTAATGACATCTCAAACACTGTAACTTATATACCAGTTTGTTTAAAATTAACATTCAGGAAGATATTCACTTTGCAAGACAGTTTGGTTAAGAGAAGCACATCTGTAGATGAGCTGTCTCTGCTAATATGACACTTGCAAAGCAATGACAAAAAGCCAGTGACAACTAAAATCAATTCTCTCCTTTCAGGTGCCAAAGAGAAGAGATATGTATTGCAAGATCTGTGAATACATGTCCAGACACTTTTCTAAAAATGACTTACTATCAATCTTCTTCAAAATTACCCCTCTCCCCCAATATAGCAAAACCCTCAACTAGCAAGACTGCTGGAGAAGAGTGTAATTATCTTGTAGCTGATACTTTACTTGAAAAGTTATTTTAATTCAATGTGTGTGTGTGGACAGAGGTTGGGAGAGGGAGATATTGCCTCCTCCTTGCTTGCTGCTAGGATGCAAACATTGATATAGGTTCCAAAGGGCGGAAGCATGCAGCAGGTCTGATTTGGAAGAGGCTTTATGATAACAAGTAGAAAGACTCAGCACCCTTTCTGTCAGTGCAGGTTCTGGCTGTCTGCAGCAGAGGCAGAATTATTACTCTGGCCACAGAAACTGCCTTACCAGGTCAGTTCTCAGGGTGAGGTTACTGGAAGCACAATGTAGATGAGCTTATTTCTCCACTTCTGCTTATGATTCTGTGAGCTTCCCAACATCTTGTACTACATTCTTTTTGCTTAAATAATTTGGTCTGATCTTAAGGACTGGAAGCAACACAAGGAACATGAGATTTGTCTTTCATGACTGAACTTGTTTCAGAGTGATTGTATGAATTTTCTGAATGTAGGAAATGTTGTTATCTGATGCTTACTGAATAATCACCACATACTATCCTGTGCTAATTACACACATTACATCATGTAATCCTCAAACAACTTAACAGTAGATCCTATTATTGTTCCCACTTCACTGACGAGCAGACTAAGGCTTAAATGGTGACTTGCCCAGGGTCACTCGGGGAACTGTGGTAAAATCAGGACTCAAACCCTTGCGGGCTGGCTCTAGTGTTGGTCCCCTTATACCACAGCACACTGCAGGAGGAACAGAAGGCTCAGCTACTCATGGACTGCTCAGGTCACAAAACCAGATCTTTTCCTGATAATAACTTACTTCTTGGTGATTTATCAGCTTCTTTCAAGTACCAAAAAAAAAAAAAAATCCCACCTGCCAGATTCTATATAACTTAATTTTTATTACAGTAAAATAAATTTTTATCAATTATTTAATAGTCTCATGCAAGCTTGCAAATAGATATACATAATAGTTTTTTTTACAGTAATCAGAATAAGATATAATCCATAATATTTTTTCTGGCCACCTCTGCAGTGGTATGATCTTAAGCAACCTCAGTTCCTTTGTACAATAGAAACTTCATCATCCATCTCATCTATTTTGTAGTTTAAATGAATAATATAGTATAGGCTTGTCACAAGGATTAACGTGAATATGTACGTAGTAGTGCCTTGAAAAAATATATACAATAGATATTATTAGTAGTATTGAAATTAACACTTTCCAGAGTGCTTCTGCAGAATTTAGTGCATTTGAATCCAACAAAATCCAGAATATAAGAGGCATTATTTTCCTTTTATATGAGGAAAGTAAAACTTAAAGATTTATGGCTTATTCAAGGTCCCATATCTCTTAATAAGTGGAAAGGATCAGAACTGAGACATTTAACTTGCAACTTTACCATGATTCGTCACTTAATCTCTTTGATGAATGAACAAAAATTCATTTATCAGTAACATCTATCCTAATTATTTTTAAAATGTCCTGAATTATGGCATCAATATTGCACATCTATGCATGGAAGTGGTGGCCTCCTCACCTTTTTTACCTCATACTTAATGGCAAGTTTGACACGACTCAATGAAGCTTTATGCCTATGCACTTCCAGAGGTTCTGTGGATTCCAGGTCTCCATTCAGAATGGCTTCTACTTCTTCTGAGTCCCGGCAAAGATCCAGCACACCCACTACGAAGTCTTTGCATTGCATGGACAGCTTCCTGTAGTCATTCTGAAAATGAGAGGTCTTGGGATTAATGCAAAGAATTTCCTCTAATTTAATGGAAAGTGTTAGGGTGTGTGGATTAGAAAACAGTGTCCCTGAATGGAAACTCTGTTGTGTTAGATACAGGCTAGATTTGCTCCCTACTTCTGTATTTTCTTAGATGGATTTCCTTCTTTAATCTACCCAATTATATGAGACAGCGCTGAAAATGGTATGTACATGATCTCACTTATATGCAAAATCTAGAAATGTCAAACTCAGAGAAGTCAAGACTTGAATGGTGGTTAGCTAGAAGCTGAGGGCATGGCAAGGAAATGGTGAGACACTGGTCCAAGAGTACAAAGTTTCAGTTAGACAAGAGGAACACATTTTTAAAATCTGTTGCACAGCCTCTGGCTATAATTACAACGTATTGTATGTTCTCAAAATTGCTAAGAGTAAATTTCAAATGTCATACCACAAAAGATAAGTGAGATGATGGATATGTTAATTAGCATGATTTAATTATTCAATATTATACAAATACCCAAAACATTGCATGATACCCCATAAATATATAGTTACCTGTTAAGAAAAAATTTTAGCTAGGAATGTAGCTCAGTGGTAGCAGGCTTGCCTAGCACACACAAGGCTCTGGATTTGATTACCAGAACTGAAAAAAATTGTAATTTGCTTCAGAAAAAAGTAGCATCATGTAACTGGTTTATGTTAATCAATGCTGGCTAAATGCCAATGCTAAAAGACTAAAGGATCAAAAATAGTTTTATCTCTTTTGTACAAACAATAGTTATAAAGCCAAAACAAGACCATTTCTATAATGGAAAATTTTCTAAAATGGCAATTTTACATACAAGATCAGCTATATGTGAAAATAGCTTGTCCAGTTTACTATCTCTTGCCTTGATGTTGATTTTTTTTTCTCAAAGCATATTTCTCAGACTCATAGCATCAATAGCGCCTGGGATTATGTTATAAATGCAAATTCTCAGACCCTGCCCCAGATGTCCTGATTAGAAACTGAGGAAGAGCCCAGCAGTCTGTGCTTTAAACACCTAGGAGATTCTGATCCAAGACAATGTTTGAGAATGACTGTTTTACAGTAAATGTAAAGAGCAGGGTAGGTACCCATCCATACAAGGAGGGATTTTTTTTCTGGTTCATCTGAAGGGCATATTACCATGCCCTGCAGAACTGGAAGTAGAGAAATGTCTGATTATAGGTAATTGAATTCTCAAGGGTTACAGAATGTCAATACCTGAGAGAAAAATTTCCAGGCCACTGTAACTAACACCTTGCTAAAAATAATCTGTGAATCTTTACTTTTATTTGCATATTTATACAGTACCAGGGACTGCTGGTAGCAGTCCCTGTTAACTTCTCAGTGGAGCTCTATTTCTAGCTTATTGGCTCCAGTTAAGGTGTCAAGGACCATCTCTTGGAAAAATGTCTCACTTTTGGAAACACCAGTTCCACCTCTATGACTTTCTGCAAAATTCTAGTCCATTAAGAAAGTTATCCAGATAATAATTTAATTTAATTTGGAACACTTGCAGAAAATAGAGTTCTTCATTTCAACATGATCTGAGACATTCTATGTGTCTATATAACTGAATAATGCTTAGTATTGCTGAACTCTGGCATTCCAAATATCATACTTTAAAAGAAGACATGAAGAATTCCAATTTTCTTCCCTTAAGTAAATTGATTTGATGAGTAAAACCACATCACCAACTAAAATAAACAAGAAGAGCAGAGAGACTGTTTAAAGGCTACACAGACTAGAATAGTTTCCATTTCAGATATCAGAAATTCAGATAAAGAACAGTTGCAGTTAATCCTTTTCCCCTCATAAGAGAACAGATAAAATGAATAAAACTTCAAATCTTTGGTTTCCATTCAAGCTGGTACCAGGAAACTGATAAAATTAATATAATGTTCAGTCTCTGGTTTCTATGCAGAGTGTCAGTTAAATATCCATCTGCCTTCCATTCCTGAAAGACTAATGAAATATTTATTATAGCATACAGAAGTATTAAATCCATCCCTGTTTCCATATAAAGCTCCTCTTTTAATACAGTTTTTAAATGAAATTTCCTTATGTTATTCTTCAGTTCAAACTGTTCTGTAAGATTTGGTACAACACAGGATGGCCATTTCTCCACTGACTAGAAATAAAAGAGGCTATTCTTCATGCTTTCAAGAAAACCTAGTACTTACTTCTGCAGTTAACACCTAAATAATGACTCATTACCTTTAAAACCTACAATTTTCAAACTTTCCAGTTTTTAAGAAAGCTGTATAAATTTTCATATTCATAGAAAGACCAGTCAAGGACAAAAAAAATGGTAATTATACAAGTTGCAAGGACAATGTTTTGTCTCCATAACAATTTAAACAGTTCCTGCTGGAAGAAGTCTGTTGGTCTAGTACAGAAAACAATCAGAAACTGAAGATAACAGTGACTACTTTTTTTTTTTTGACATGAGGTTTCCTCATGTTGTCCAGGCTGACTTTGAACTCCTGGGCTCAAGCGATCTCCTGCCTCTGACTCTGGAGTAGCTGGGACTTTAGTTATGCAACACCACGGATAGATAATGGCAATTTATTTTATCGCAGTCATGGGATACCACTTTATAACCTATGCAGAGCTCCCAGGGAAAGATGTAAAGTTCTAGCTAAAGACAGCTGCCTTCCCTCCATTGCAAACACAACCCTCCCCAAAGTCATGAGGCCCTGCTAATGTGACTTCACAGCTCAGACAATTTGTTAAGTCTAACTTTTCTCATAGATTCCTCTCAATTTAGTTTTGTTTAGTGGTTGTCACGTACCACTTTTCCATTACCATGGTCTTCCACAAAGTAAGCAGGTGGACCTAGGCTGCAGAACAAGAACTCAAAGCCCCAAGGACCTAATCAAGGTTGAAGAACGATGGAGTTCAATCTTCTTCACAACCTATCTACAAGACATTTAACGCAAATGATTTAATCAGCCTCTGCATCTCTTTTTTTAATCCTTAAGAGAATTCAATTCTCATTGAAATTCAACTCTAAGCAGGCTTGGTTCTTCCAAGTCCTTTCTCTAATAGCAAAAGAGCCAGGATAGTGTAGTGGATAAGAGAATTTGAAGCCCAATTTGGGCTCAAATATTGTTTATACAACTTACTAGCTGTGTAATCTTGTGGTACTTACTTAACATCCTTGATGAGAGACACTGTGAGGATTAAATGCTTAGAGCATGCTTGGCAGACATTAAGTACTATAGGAGGGCTTCAGTATGATCAGTATATTATTTTAGATATAATATTTAGATCTAAGACCTCAGACACTTAATGCAGGCTTAGTGGATGGAAGTTTGGTTAAACCTTTTGTTTTCTCATTTATAAAATGAGAGGTCTATATAACTAGATGATTCCTAGAGGATCTTCTAACTATAAAATGTTACCTTGCTTTGGATTATATTAATTTTTCTTCTTCCTTATAGCTCTGGTGTGATATAAATGGAAACTACTTTTCTATCTTAAGGAGAAAACTGAGGCACCAGAAAGGCAGCTAGCCTTGTTTTTGTTTTTGTTTAAAAAAGGAGCATCACTGACTCAGTCAGAATTGTGAAATTTCAATATGCGTCCTCACAGCTTAATAAATGACTGGCTTCCTTGCCACTAACATGGGGAGAATTGGACCTGGTTTTCATCTTGTTCAATATGTGGCTTTTCAGAATGGCTTCAGTCAGCATTTGCACATGCAAAATATATCTTTAATAACCTGTCACTAGGCCATCCTCCATTAATTTGTCTAAATCTACATTCTAGAACATTCTACCTCTTGGAGTAATGACCTTCAGATGTTTTCAGCACTATGCCTACTGTATTCCTCAAGGAACTTGGATAACTACACGGGTGGCTGACAATCCTCTCTCAAGCACCCATCTGAAGGCAATTTGAAGGGTGAGATACTAGCTATTACAGACCAATGATAAAAGAGGCATAGAGGACTGAAAAGGGAAAAAATTACCTCTCTTTCACTAGGTAAGTTATTATCTATTTTTTCCTACTTTGAGCTCGAAGTCCCTATGGAAAGAATATAGTGAACACCATGGAACAGAGAAAATTAGGTTACCTGCTTCTCAGAAATGAGGTGCACTTGCTCTGCCTTTGCAGAGCTCAGAGTCTGTGGGTCAGTGCTCCAAAAGCACTATGTTCTCATTGTGTCAAAAGCCCTAACAGAGGGACATGAGCATGAGATGGGAGGGGAGAGGGGTGAAAGGGAGGCTGATAAGAAAGGAACAAGGACAGGTAAGAATGGGGAAGAAAAGGCACAGCAAGAGGAAAGGGACTTGCCATCTTTATAGAGTAGAACACCTGACAAACTTTTCTCATTTAGACTCAGAAAGGGTTATGCTACTCAAATGCTTGCCAGAGAATCCTGAAGACGGGAACATGAGATTTAGATGCTGTTTATAATCCTTAGATATTCGGTAGTTTAATGATCGTCCCCTAGGACTCAGCTGTGTTTTCTCCTCTTTTCATTTCTTTACTTGTGATATTTTCCCATCTTTGAAAGGTTATCCGGAGTAATTCTTTAAGCCAGAGTAAAGGTGATTCTAAGCTTTACTAATATGGATTTAGCTGTCTTCAGGAGAAAATGATGAATAACAAATTCTCTTACCATCACTTCACTTAGATGACTTCTCGGGGTAGAACTGCAAACATTGCCATTTTTATTAAGTTATTAAAATATAATCTTAGATAATATTCCCTTTTATAGAATTTCTTTTGCAATCTTTGCAAACACATCAAGCAAAGTGTACAAAAATAAGGTTTATGTGACATCTGAAATAATGGCAAATAAACAAATTTAGAATTATGTTTTTATTACTGTCTCAAAATATAGAAGTGATATTTGGAAGTATTGTATCCAAATACTTTTCTAGACTCTCTTTCTAGAGTTTGGTGTTCACCTGAGTTTTGTCTTAGAGATGTTCCATTTTGGATATGGGTACCACGTAATAAATGTCTTCAAAGAGAATAGATACAAGATGATATTTATTTTCTTCTTTGTATTTTCCTACATTTTCAAAAAGTGTTTACAATCAGTATGTGTAGCTTTTGTATGAGGAAAAATGTTTTAATGGTTGAACAAGATTATACTAAAGACACAACAAAGGTTGATGATCATTTAGGGAGTTTGTTTTGTTATGGAAAGGGGAGAGAAAACTACTTTTTTTACTAGTTTCTTACAACTCCAGAGAAAAGTAGATTTTCCTTAATTTCAGTTATATTGCTATCTGCACTTGAATAAACCACTTAAATATGAAAAATCATATTAAGATGGGAAAGATAGACTAGTCACTCTTTCTGTGATATGACACCACAATACTGAAAAAAAAACAAGGTTAACTTAGCATCCAGAAAATAAGCCAAGGTACTGATGTCCACAGTCATCTTCTTAAGTGGAAAGCTTGCTGAAAAGTCTGATTGATTTTTACCAGAATTATGAAATAGCCTTTTGTTGTAGATTTAATAGCTATCATTCAAAATGTATAAGAGGATTTGATAATGGAGTAAAAAGTAAAATATTTTATAACTACTATATAATTTTTATAAAAATAATACTATTTGACTGTAGAAGATGTCCAGAAAGAAGTTCATGTGTTACAACAAACTCTGCGAATGCAGGGAAGAAAACAAAGTTCAATCATTTATTTGTATTTTGGGGTTGAGCTGACATCTATGGCTCACCAATCCAGATATATGTGTATTTGTGGAGCTGAGAAAGAGGAATTTGTCACATGACTTTAATAGTATTTAACATTTAATAGCATTTTATTGGTCTTAGATTTATTTTTATTCTAGGAGCATACAAAAGTTTGGCCCCTGAACATGGCTTTCACAACTAATAAGACTACAGAAAGGTGGAACCATATCTCCAAGCAATAACCAGGCATTGCACTGCCTCCAGGAACAATGCACCCCCTGGGGGAATTAAATAAACAACAACAAAAAAACTAATACTCTTGTGTTGGGTACCACCACGCTACCCACAAAACAGGAGGACACATTTGGGAGCCAGAGAAGGTCACTCCAAATCCCTCTTCTTAACAAAAAGGGGAGAATCTTGAGTTTTATTTAACGCTTACCCAGAACAGAGTGGCACCATAATTATTCTCTGATCCGGAATAAACACATCTCCAAAGCAAATTTATCACAGCACTATCGTTGGGGGGTGGGGGGGGTGCCTGATCATCAAATCAACTCTGAAATACTCTCCCAATCCCTCGTGATCTGAAATCCACCGGATAGAAGTGAATCCAGAGCAAATATATTAGAGTCTGACTTAGAGAGAACTATGCGAGGGCCAGGCAGCAGCAGGAAGCCGGTGAGCGCAGGGCGGCGTGCGAGAGGCGAGCCGAGCTTACCTTGAACTCCTTCTCGATGTTGGCCAGCTTGGCCAGCTCATTGCTGAGCTCCAGGGCCGTGAGCACCGGGTCCTCGCTGGACAGGGACAGGTACGCCGGGCTGGCCAGCCCCTTGTAGGCGTTGATCCTCGAGCGCGAGTGGCTGAAGGAGTCGTGCCGCTGCTTCTCTGTGCAGTCCCCGCACTTGCAGAAGTAGTCATGCGGCCGCTCGATCCTGGCGCCCTTCATCAGCAGCATGTGCACCACCTCGTACTTCTGGCAGTGCGCCGCCAGGATGATGGGCGTGATATCCGGAGAGAAGCGCGTGCCGTCCTCGTCGTAGGCGTAGAAGTCGTCGTCCTGCAGCTCCTGCTCGCAGGGACTCAGGGTGAGGCGCTTGGTGGCGGCGAAGCCGGGGTGGTTGAGGATGGCCTCCACAATGCGCACGTAGCCCTTGCTAATGGCCAGCAGCAAGGCGTCGCCGATGCGCGCCAGGTTCTCCTTCTTGAGCAGCAGCTCGGTCACCTCCAGGTGCTCGTTGCCCACGGCCAGCTGCAGTGCGTTCTGGCCCATGTAGTCCACGCAGTTGACGTTCAGCGTCTTGGACTCCTCCAGCATCTTGCGCACCACTGGGATGTTGCCGTACTCGGCGGCGTCGAGGAAGCGCTCCTCCTCGGCCGTGAGGCTGGTGCCCCGGTCGTTGAACATGAAGGCTGGACCCCGGACCGCCTGGCGCCGGCCCTTCTCCCGCATCACCGTCATGCGCCTCAGGGATGGACTTCCCTCCATGAACCTGATCAGCAGCAACGATAAAGCAACTGTAGAACATTAGACCGTGCTGCTTTCCGCCACCACGCGTCACAACCCCTGCAGAACAGTGGCCGGCAGATGGCCAGGCCAGTTGCTAAGAACTCATGCAAATGTTACACCTGTTTCTGACAAGGGCTGCTGGACTCCAGAGAGGAGTTCGCAGGCCTTCCGAATGACAGCTCCGTCGTTTAGAAAATGTCACTGAGGTGAAATCATAATAAAAATTTGTTCACAAACCTTATCCTCTTTTGTGACCCCGATGCTAGTCCTCCTGGTACCTTGTGGCCATAATCTGTCTCCTCCTCTTAAAAGTCTTGGAAATCAAGGCATAGATACTTCACTTGGCACCAAAGCACTAGTCTTGAACACTAAAGGAAGCTAATTTTTTTCAAGAATTAGGCCAGAGCGAAATGTAAAAGACGCTAAGAAATAGAGAAGTAGATCTTTTGTAGATAGGAAGGGGATCTAGGGATGGAGAGGGGAAGGAAGGGAGAAGGAAAATGAAAAGGATTAAGATTCCATATGTAAGCATACCAACTCTCCATAATGAATGTGTTCGTTATGTATCACAAAAATGTAGTAATAAAAAATTTTGAAGATATACTACTAACACAGTAAATGGCATAAAAACAGCCAGTGGAATAAAGGATGCAGAAACAAAGTCATCCAACTACAACTGTCTGATTCTTGACAAAGGGTGCAAAAAATATACATTGGAGAGAAGACAACTTCTTTGACACATGGTGCTGGGGAAACTGGATAGCCACACGCAAGAGATGAAAACTTCATACCTAGCTCTCACTCTACAAAACCAATTCAAAGTGGACTGAAGAACTAGGTATAAGATGGGGAACTTAGAAACCACTAGAAGGAAACATAAGGGAGACATTTCAAGTCATGGGCACAGGCAAAGACTTCCTGAGTAGGACCCTGACAGCATAGGAAGTAACAGCAAAAATCAGCAAATAGGACTACATCAAATTAAAAGCTCTGGCACAGCAAAGGAAACAATCAACAGAGTGAAGAGTCAGCTTACAGAACAGGAGAAAATCTTTACCAGCTATTCTTCCAACAGAGAATTAATGTTTAAACTATATAAAGAACCAAAAATCTTAATATTAAAAAACACAAGTTATCCAATCAATACATGTGCAAATGTCCTGAACAGATGCTTGTCAAAAGAAGTACAAGGCTGGGCGTGGTGGCCCCCACACACTGGGAGACTGAGGCAAGAGGATTACAAGTTTGAGGACAGCCTGGATGATTTAGTAATTTCAATACATAGACTCAAAATAAAATATATTTAAAAGGGCTAGAGATGTAGCTCAGTGTGAAGGTCCTCGGTTCATTCCTCAGTACTGAAGAAAAAAAGGTACAAATGGTCAACACTTTTAGTCATTACAGAATGCAAATCAAAACTACATTGAGATTCCGTCTCACCCCAGTCAAAATGGCTATTATCAAGAATGCAAAAAAATGCTGGTAAGGATACAGGGGGGAAAGGAACTATTCCATATAGCTTGTGAGTGTGTATATTAGTACAGCCACCATGGAAATCAGTATAAAGTTTCCTCAAGAAACTAAAAATAGACATACCATTTGATCCAGCAATACCAATCCTTGGGATAGTCTTGAAAGAATTAAAGATAGCACACCACAGTGATTCCTGTACACCCATGTTTACTGCAGTGCAATTCATAATAGTCAACCTAAAGAGACAGTCTAGGTGCTCTTGAACAGATGAATAAAGAAAATATAGTATATGTACACAATGGAATATTATTCAGTCAGAAGAATGAAATTGTATCATTTACAGGAAGATGAATGGAACCAGACATCTTCATGTTAAGTGAAATGAGACTCAAAAGGTTTTATACTGCATGTTTTCTCTCATATGAATCTAAAAAAAAATTTAAAAAGAAGACAGGAAAGTAGAAAGGAGATGATTAGAGAAGAGGAAGGGGATCAGGAGGACAGGAAGGGAAGTAGAGGAGGCAATGAAAGGGTAAAAATAAGTGCAGTAAGTATATTATATGCTTGCATGAATATGCTAAAATGAAACCCCTCCTTCTGTGTTACTAATAGGCACCAATAAAAGTCTTTTAAGACAGGGAGAGGAAAACATTATGCCAGAAAAACCTTCTAAAATAATTGCATACATTTAACTAAATAAAATCACACAAAGGGAGAAGTGGAGGGGGAGGGAGGGACAGAAAGAGAGAGAGAGAGGGAGGGAGAGAGAGAGAGAGAGAGAGATCAGTATTTCAGCAAAGTATCATCTTGCAAGATCCTAGTTTTAACTTTCTTTTTTTGAGATGGTCTCACTTTGTAGTTAAGGCTGGCCCTGAATTCACTTTTTAGTACATGTGCTGCTGAAGGGAGCACTGGCCCTGAACTCACTATGCAGCCTAGGTTGGACTCGAACACATGGCAATCCTCTTGCCTCAGCCTCCTGAATGTTGGGATTACAGGCATGCCCCACCAATCCTGGCTTAACATTTTCTCTTAAAGGGATCCCCTTAACCTTCCAAAAAACTTACAGGATTCATTTTTTCAATAGCCCAGAAAAGATTTAGCCAATATAAAATGTAAACATCAATATAAATTTACTTTAATAATTGTGCCTGTGTAATTAAGAATTTTTTAATTACTAGTATTGTTTTCTCTTTTGAACTAAAAGGATATGGTTTGATTTGTGGTTTTAAAATGACTAGTATTGGGCCGGGGATTTAGCTCAGTGGTTCCATTACCTGCCTGGAAAGCCCAAGGTCCCGAGTTGGATCCCTGGTACCAAAAAAAAAAAAAGAGTAGTATTACACTGTGAATGAAGCATCCAGAACAATGTGTACTGAAATCTTAACTCCAGCCACATCAGTCGAGATTTGACTGTGTTATAAGCTGTGTCATTAATTGATGTATAGTAATTTGAATCCATGTCAAATTTTTTTGTGATATTTGGTAAATAATTTCACTTCCTTATGTTTTCTTATCCCAAGTGTAAAATGGAAACCTATCAATTTCTCCAGATTTTCCTCATGAATTTAGAAGAAAAGCTTTTACAGGAATTGTGAGTCTGAAAAACGACGCTAACTAAAGAATTTTTTTTTTTTTTTGGTACTGGGGATCAAACTTGGGTCCTTCGGCTCGTGGGGCAGGCGGCGGAACCACTGAGCTAAATCCTCGGCCCTAAAGAAATATTTTTAACATTTATCATCTGTAATATTTCAGTGATTTGAACTGTATTTCAGTGCATCTTTACCATTTCTCAGTTCCAACATTTCTGCTGATTGAAATGCTCAAGATAACTTCCTTTAAAAAAATCTGTGATTTTTTTTTTTTTTTGGTATGCATTGTACCAAAAGGTACCAGGTAAAGCTTTATTCACATATCTGACTTCTGATGCAAAGAAGTCAAAGTTAAAAGTAAATGGCTAAGAAAGAAAATGCTTTAGTTCTATAACATATAGTCCAGAAACACATCCTAACATTGAGAAAATGGTGTTTATACAGCCAGTAGAGAGGACACTGGCCTCCAGGGGGCCTGGAGGTGGGTAACTAATTAGGGAGTCTCCTCAGCAGGAAGATTCAGAGGCAGTTACCACTGTCACTCACTTTGAAGCTCTGGGGGTCTCCAACCAGGAGAGGAGTACAGGAACCACTAGAAGAAGGCTTCTGGGGGGGGGGCAGGCAAATGTGGCCTGGCAAACCTGGGTCTATACAGGTGAGGAAACCAAAGATCCACAGAGAGGCTCGTTAATTTATCCAAGGGTAGGAATGCTGTAAGCAGCACCTCATTCTAGCTGCTCAGCTGGTGCCAGGCAATCAACTCTTACAATTAAATACATGTTTATATGTGCACATTTATACACGTATATATACATGTTTATAGCCATACATGCATTTGTAGGGGAAAGAGAACTTTCTTTTTCCATTTATGCCCTCTTGGACATTGAATAGTTTTAACCATAATTTGAATATTTATGTTAAAAATTATTTAGAACGTTTTATGTAATTTAATCCCTTAGTTAACAAAAAATTTTTTAAATGTAGGTATTTTTGGTAACCGTTATATTATCATCTTTTTTTTTTCAGTGAAATAAAGTCCGGTGTTTGGCTGTTTGTGGCAGATTTCAGATGTGTGGTGTGTGGGATTGTGTGTGGAAGGGAATGTGTGTGAGACAGGTTTAGGATTCAGGCTGCATGAGTGTGTGTTGGTATTACAATGATTTTTAGGTGGACAAGAACTGGGAAAGAAAAACTGTATAGAAGAAAATTTCTAACTCTAAAGGACTTTAAACAAATCTTTTAAATTGTATTATAAATACTGTAAGTAAAATAGTTTTATTACTATTAACAGTACGTGATTCAATAAGTTAACATTTTACCATTAAGCTACAAGCTGATACTCTTCAAATGGCTAGAGTTTTCATTTTATATAAAAGATTAATTTGTGCTTGCCATTGACACTGTTGATAGCTAAAAGGATATATCAATAAGAGAGAATACCTAGGCAGAATATATACATCTGCAGAATTCTAATCCATACTCAGATGAGTTGTCTTTGGGCAAATAGACTCACATTAAACCTTCTAGTAGAAGGGTTTTAAAATTTAATGATAGTTACCTGCAAAGTAAATCACTTAAAAAATCCACCATTTTTCCCTAGAGAGACTGATTTAAGAATACTAGAAAATGATTGTTTTGTGAAAAATTTCTTGGTATTTTGTAGCATTTTTAATTGTTTTAAATAAAAAATTTATTATATATATTTAAGATTTACAACTTGACATTATGGGGTACATATAAAAAGTATAAAGGTTATTACAATGAAGCAAATTAACATGTCCACCATCTCTCAATGACCTTTTTATGTTTTGTTTTTTATTTTGTTTTTTTGCAATGAAAGCAGCTAAACCTACTCATTTGACAAGAATCCCATACACAATACAATTTTATTTCCTAGAATCCTCGTGTTTTACATTAA